CCAGAGCCTTCACGACGTTTTAATTTATTATTTACTGAAGGCTCTAGAATCCAGGGTATATTAAATACGGTTTAAAATGTCTTTTGACAGTTTGTTTACGTTTGCTATTTTAAGCAGTTCTTGTGACATAAAACTGACATTTGAAGTAGGACTATTTTTCAGGGAAGTCGCGTAATTTTGAAAGCGGGTGCAAACTCTGAGAGCGCAAGGGATAATGGTTTCACATATTAATCCCTTAAACACAGAAAATTGCCTTTGCAGCAATTATGTTTTCTGTCGTGAGTCTTATATATGTCTTATAGATATTCTTGCAAAGCCAAATTTCAAAGTTTATGAGCCTAAATAAGCAATAACCCATCATCCCTTGCGCGCTCAGAGTTTTAGGTTTAAGCTTTTGGAAGGACAATCTTAATTGAATTAGCTATATACGCCGCATGTAAGCTTCAAACGCTAAATCTTAATTTACTGCTTTGGTGAATACGTGCATGACCAGACTAGTGGTTCATTTGCTTTCTTAAATCATTGCTAAATAGAACAAGTTTAATAATTGTTTAATATATTTCAAAACTAGTGTAAAAACTGTTATAACAGAGTTGTGAAATCAAAAACTTCGTTAGCGGTTTGACGTTTGCCGTAAACGTCAATCTAAAACTCTCTAATAAGTCGAAAGATATACGAGAACCTCTGGCAACCATGCAGGGTATAGTAGCCTACTGTGTCTGGTTGATACATAATTCGACGTACAAAACAGACGTATAAGTTATAACTATTTACTTAACAAACTATAAAATAATACTTACTAATTTGTACTAACTCTTTTAAAAAAATAGGTTGATTCTACATTTGCATAGCTATCACAGACAACCAAATCCATGCATGATATGGAGATAATTTTCGGCTAATAATTAAAACGAGAAGTTATACTCACCAAATTACTATGACGCTGTTTTCTTGTTCTTTTCTAACGAACTTCTTCTCTTCTAATGAAGTAAGTTTTGGGTAGAGAGCTAATGCACAAATGAAGTTTCTCTTTGATTTGCCATGCAACTATATATACTCGTAACTGTTCATGAAATCATTAACAATGCAGATTATCCTCTCCTATTGTTCTGCCATTGATACGACAGTATATCACGTTCAGCAAAATTTTAAATGTTGCAATATTCAAAGCTTTAGAAATGCATTGTGTTTAACCTATTCAAATGCAGGTTTATTAGCATAGCATGCATGACCAGTTGCCATGCCCAGCTCGCCACTGCAGTCGGAATAGGAGTTCGTAAATTATAAATCCTTTCTTATGCAAAAAACAAAACGACTTTATATGCATGATCATACCAATCATAACTGTGCAATTACAATATAATCTATTATCGTTGTTATTTAAAAGTATCAAACTTGTTGGGTCGGCATAAAGTCAGCAGTGGGGCGACCAAACACTTTATAAACTTTGCTACAATATAAATTACACAATCTAAATACAGTGCCGTAGCAAGCTCGATAATTGGGGGGGCGCTCATATTCATATATTCATATATTCATATATTCGTGTTCACAGACCATAAAAACAATGGATTTCAAAAGAAATTAACAACGCAGAACACGAATATATGAATATGAACCTCGCAATTATCGATCTTGCTACGGCACTGAAATATTATAATGACTATAATATGATACAGAGTGTATAAAAAAAAACGCAACCTCGGAGTTTCCTAAGAAATCACTTTGCAATTCTTAAGCATAAAAGATTTTAGGCCCCTGGGAATTGAAATCGAATTGCTAATAGATCATATTACTGTTGTTGTGCATTAAATAAATGCATAAATTTTGCTTTATCACTCGCGTGTGCAGTAATTTTGACAGTTGTGCTATTTCAAATTCCCATGAGGCGCCTAAAATCTTTTGTCTTTAAAACAATGTCGATTTCTTGGGAAATTCCGAGGTTTCGTTTTTTTTTATTCACCCTGTATAACACATTCCCAGCTATCCCTGCATGTATAGATTTCAAAGACTCGCAAACTGTTCTAACCATGTTATTAAAACAGGCATTGGCCAATAACTGTGATCCCATGGAAACACTGTGCAGTACTCTGAATTATAGTGAATACATGCACGGAAACTGCAACGGGACACGGGCGAATATAGCTATTTGTACCATCCCTAAAAGCACTAAACATACTTTTTAAGTTTATTTCCCGCTTGAGAAACGTATGATGAATTTTTAAAATTGGATTGAGTTATACATATTCACCAGTTTGATTATTATAGCAGCAATCAAGTTTGAACTTAGATCGAAAGCTTCGAGAAATAAACGTACGTGTCTTCAAAACAATTATTGAATTAAAAAAAAACGATTATATTTATATAGTTATTTTTACCAGGCAAATTTACCTACAAGGTCAAGGATGTTATTGTGATCATATTAAACTATGCAGTGTCCGAGTTGTCAATTTATTAATGTTGTTATTTAAAAGTATCAAACTTAATTGTTGGCTCTGCATAAAGTGCGAGTAAGCTAGCACCCTAGTAAAGGCCCATACAGACCGGGAGCGATTTGGCAACGCGACGCGAATTTTCTGTTTTCAATGATATTTAACTCTAATATTTTTTAATGTTTTTCAAATATTCGGAACTACTTAAGCAGTTTCAGCTATTTAGTCTGCATATCTTGTAAAATTTTTAGCCGTTGACGGTTTTATTTGTTTTTGAAAACTGAAAATTCGCGTCGTGTTGCCGAATCGCGTCCGGTCTGTATGGGCCTTAATACCTGGAAACTGCAACGAGCCACGCATGCATGTTCGCGATCAAGTTTGAACTTAGATCGAAAGCTTCGAGAAATAAACGTGTCTTCAAAACAAAATAAAACAATTATAGTTATTTTTACCAGGCAAATTTACCTACAAGGTCAAGGATGTTATTGTGATTTGTTACCATGGTATCAAAATAAGGAAATATCTTTATCGTACTAGTTTACCCACAGGGTAGTGAATGCTGCCTTGGTCAGTATAGCATTGTTCCCAAATCTTTAAAGGAGATTTTTTTGTATGTTACGTAACACGCGCTCAAAACTAATGCGTATAATCTACCACTTGAGGTTATGACTAAAATCAAAATTTTTATTTTTCGATACGTTTCTCAATCGGTAAAAAAACTTAAAAAGTATGTTTAGTGCTTTATCTGTAAAATAATGCTAAAATGAAGAGATTTTAGATGATACGCCAAAGAGAAAATGATGTCTGAACTTCAGTACGTTTTGCTTAAATGGCTGTAAATATAGCGTCAATTTTAAGGCATCATTCATAATTGTATTTTAATTGGCAATTTTTAACTATTATTTTATGTTTCTCAACCGGCAGAAGCATTTAAAAAAGTAGCTAACTCTATAAACTGTAGAGAACGAAGCTAAAGCAAAGTAATTTTGAGAGGAACGCCAAAAAGATTTTAGGTTTTGAACACATTTCATTGCAAATACATGACATTGAAAAAAATTGCCTCTTAATATTTTAAAGAACAAGAGTAAGAAATATTTGTAATGAATTGGAATCATCCATAATTTATAGACTTGAATGTGCCGTATGATAACTCGGCGGTTGAAGTTTCGTATCGAAAGAGGAACAGCCGAGCAGGTACGATGGTAGCCTGCTCGCAGGCCGTTGTCAGTACGATGGCTAACAAGAATGAGTGTACTTATCAACTTATCTAACGCGAGGAAAAGATCAAAATGGCAGGTATGGCTGTGATATCTAGTATATAAAATTGTATAGACAATTTTCCCACAAATACGGTGCTAGGTTAAAACGGCCCAAAGTCAAAACGGCCCCAAAGTCAAAACGGCCCAAAGTCAAAAATGGCCCCGCTTCAATAATCATATGATTTTAATAGACCAGGGCAATGACAATGACATGCAGGTGACATTTAACATATGCGAGTGTGCGTCTCACTAAATTTGCGTGTTTAATAATGTAAAATTGTTTATCAAAGAAAGCAAAAATATATACAAGACAACCTCACATGTGGAATCTGTTCACTTACGCACTGCCTTGTGATGCAGTACAAGTACAAGGCTTTAAATCCTAAAACATAATTAAATCATACGGCACATTCAAGATTTTAATATCGTATTTCAGTCGTGTTTATACTGCTTGGCGCGCATTTGCTGCGTTGTATTAATTTATATATATGTTATATACACAGATTTATTACTAATAAATCAACACTATATAATAATTTAAAATACTCATTAATAATTCATAAACCTTGTGACAAATCATGTCAGCCATAATATGTCACGTGGAGTGACTTTATATCTGATAAAACACATGTGGCATTATATAATTGTTCATCTTAATTAGCATGATTATATTATGGTTCATCCTAATTAGTATTCTTTTGTAGTCGTATTTTAAGCTATTCAAAACACTCGTTGTCGTGTTTTATCAGATATAAAACGCTCGGCTGCGCCTCGCGTTTTATATCTGATAAAACACTCCTACTCGTGTTTTAAATAGTACATAGAACTCACAAAGTACGCGCAGTCACCTTTTTATAAATAAACCTTTTTAAAAGCATGTCATTGTCATTGCAGACCAGAGGCAAAAAGCACAGCCACATACCAGATTTAAGTAATCGTGAGACTATATACATGGAAAGAATATGGAAATTATGTTAAAAGCACCCCGTATAATGACGAAAGCACCGCGTATAATGCTCGAACCAATGCGTATAATGGCGAACGCACCGCGTATAAAGGCGAAAGCACCACGTATAACGCTCGAACCACTGCGTATAATAGCGAAAGCACCGCGTATAACGCACGAACCACTACGTATCGACAAAATGCCGTTTGATCACTTACGCCAGCTATGGATTTCCATAAAAGAAAACCAAAGATGAAAGATGATCACATTGCTTGTTTGCCTTATGCCTGTTTATTAGGCAAGAATAAAGATTAGGTCTGCTGCCTTGCTCGCTCGCTTCAGGCTCGCTCGCTGCGGCAGCAGTTAAACTATGCAGTGTCCGAACTGTCAATTTATTATTATTGTTATTTAAAAGTATCAAACTTGTTGGCTCTGCATAAACTGCGAGTGAGGCAGATATGGTATGAAGATAACCAATTATTTTAAAAAGAAACATAATATTAAAAAAAAACACAAAATGCGTAATATAATTGTTTGGTATATTTGTGAAAACATTACGGTATTTTGCATTACTATAGCTTTCGATCCGTGAGCCTTCGCCGATCTTCATCAGTGTAATATGAATATAGCACCGATGAAGGCAGAAGGCCGGACTGGATCGAAAGCTTCACCAAAGGCAAAACAATACCGAACATATCTATCACAAACAAAACAATTATATTTATTTTTACCAAACCTATACAAAATCAAAAAATTCTATTGTGGTAATAATTACAGATATGGTATGAAGATAACCAATTATGTTAAAAAGGAACACAAGGGAGCAGTCATTATTAGTCCGGAGGCTAGCCATGTAGTCAGGCAGCCATGAAGTCACGTAGCCACGTAATCAGGTGATCAGGTAGTCACGTAGCCATGTAGCCACATAGCCACATAGTCAGGTATAGCCATGCATGTGGAGTTTTTCCTGATAAACTAAAAATTGCCCAAATCATTCCCATATATAAGTCTGGTGAATCCGACTCTGTTACAAACTATAGGCCAATTTCTCTGCTAACAAGCTTTTCTAAATTTTTTGAAAAAGTTTGAAAGATACGAAATTCTTTACTGCTGTCAATTTGGTTTTCGAAAGAATCACTCGACTTCATTAGCGTTAACTCATTTGGTTAACAAAATCACAACAGCTATTGATCGTAAAGAGGTTACTGCTGGTGTATTCCTAGATCTTTCAAATCTTTTGACACTCTTAACCATGAGATCTTACTTGCTAAATTACAACATTATGGCATCAATGGTTTACCTTTGAAGTGGATAAAAAGCTACTTACTAGGCCGTAAACAATTTGTTCAGTTTAAAGAATCGCGTTCCTCAGAACAAACCATAGTATATGGTATTCCTCAGGGGTCTATATTAGGCCCATTGCTTTTCATCTTATATATCAATGATATTTCGAATGCTTCTACACTGACAGAGCCGCTGATTTTTGCAGATGACACCAGCATATTTTACTCGCATTCTGATCCAAACTACTTGGAGTCTGTAATGAATGAGGAATTGCAGATGTTTGATGTTTGGATGAAATGTAATAAACCTAATAAACAACCATCATCCACACCACCATTGTCAACATTCCACGTGAAAGAATCTACTACTTATACATCATCAACACCAGAATATATACCATCAGAGTCAACATTCCACATGACAAATTAACCATCAGAACAAATTAAACAACCAATCCAGATGACTATAACTTCAGTACAAACTGCAGTGATAGAACCAACAACTCCATCATCAGAACCAACATTACAGATGACAGAGCAACCAACTATACCATTGTCAATAAACAATGAAACACAACCACGTGAGATGACAGAAAAGATACCATCGACTGTGGCACCAGTAGCTAGCACCAAGCCACCATGCTACGATATGTGGCAGGTCTGTGGTTTCTTTACGTCATCGTGTTCAAACGCTTACGTGTTAAAAATGTGTGCAAGAAGCTGTCAGCAGTGTGACTAACAAACGTTATGGAAAAGTAATTATCTTGAACTAATCTATGGATGCATAGATCTTCATATACTCTACTTAGGACACAACAAAATTTTATTTCTGCAGCACAGGCAAGATACATAATGATAGAAAGTCTAGTTTCAAATATTTACAAACAACACTACTATTACTACTGATGTTTCTTGGGATTTTTCTGTGTGTGATTCTTCTTTTATATGGCTCCTTTTTTTCTTCAGCTATTTCGCATTTATAAGTTCTTTGTATGTTTGCATGGCGATAAAACATATAATAGTTTTGTTCGTGGAAACACCACGTAAATTTATTACTGCAAAGCTTTCGATCCGTAAGCCCGGATCTTCATCAGTGCTAATAATATGTGACTTGTTTAATTCACACCACAGAGTAGAGACATACAGAGACGTAACTGTAAACACTGCGGAAGATTACGTTATCATGTACCCACTTTTTTTCAGGCGACCGGGCGAAAAATGATTAACTGCGCATGCTCGGCAAGTTTTTTATGTAAACATATATTTTTAATAAAGACGTTTACCCAAGAGCTATCAAGCTCATCGAGGGGCTTACGTCACTATTTACATAATATTTAAAAAATAAGAATAAAGTAGAGTAAATAAACAAGGACAAACAAATTACTGGATTGTTTGGAGGATTCCTTACAGAACTTAACGAAAACGTTTAGATTCTTTAATGAATTGTTGGACAAAATTGAAAATTTTTTTGTTATCATCCATATTTAGATTAACATCGCCAAACAAAAACACCTTTAATTTTTGAGAATCCGACAAAATATTCCAGCTATCACTGCACAAACTTGTGCAGCAGCCGAGAGTAAGGAAATCCTCAGAGCAAAATATCGGGGACACTTTAGCAAATAATGCATAATTGATTCATGATTTGCACCACACACACATGCTGGAGTTACAATACAATCTATTTTAAACAAATAATAGTTTAGAGTACATCAATTGAGACGAAGCCGAGAATGTAAAATAGAGGAATGTCTATCAATTGAATAACTAAACATATTGTATTTATTGTATTTTTATGATTTATAATAAAAACAATAAATATTTGCGTAGTTTTGTCATAAATCATAAAAATACAATAAATACAATATATTTAGTTACGTTTCTGTGGTGGCGAACATATTCGTGAAAATATTCAAGCCCCCCTGTCATGTGTCCACGAGAAGTTTCGCGAAGATTGCGCGTGACTTTCAAATGATTTGTTTTTTATTTTGAACCTAAATGTTATACGGGAGGATTTTTCCTTCCTAATGGGACAAATGTTGCCAATTTTTGGATTGGGACTATTCTACAATGAAGTACTCTTGGATACTGTAATCTAAATACATATGGAAACGAAGAAGTTGCATTTATCAGACAGAGAAGCGGCGAGCCATTAAAATGGCGGCAATTTGGCGGAATATCGAAGGACACAATATCGAAGGTAAAATACACTGCACTGTTACAAAAGTGGATGAAACCTTCTTTGAAATCTTCTTCAGCCATTTATGATTATGTAAAAGTACAATAACTGGATGATATTTGCGAGATTCGGCGATAAAAAGCAAACAAGACGGCAAAATATGGCTGAAATCGTGTTTTCGTGGGGGGTAAGTGAAATAAAATGTATTATATTTAAAGAAAACAATGACAATCCTTATGAAATCAACAATATTTATATTAAATTAAGCATAGTTTTTCACCCCATGATAATTTTTTTTAGGAAATAAGAATATTTAATTTCTGCCAGGCATATTAGTTATTTTGTGCATAATCAGCAATTTACCTGGGGTGGTGCATAGTCATTTTCTGGTAAAATATTATACTTCGACAAATTTTTCCTTCCAATGACCACCCCTAAAAGCAACCCTTCTAAACACTATAAGCACTTCAGAAAGGCTATCGCTTTTCCTTTTCGGAAGTTAGAGCTATGTCGACACTGCCGTTTCAGGGCGGGGTCATTTTCAGGACTTTCGTCCCGGATTCAGGTTTTCGCACATATGCCATGTTGACCGCCATGGTCATTTTACCCTAAAACAGTTGAGATTACCTGTCCTAAATGAATCGCATACAAACTCATATACAGGTCCTAGACTAATGGGGAAATAGTGTTATGCTTCCCGTCGGGCGACCAAGACGGCATGGTTTCACATCACCCGTGTTTACAAAAGTTCTAACTGTCCGATAGACGGTTTTCGAACAAACAAATAATTGTGAAGCTATGTCCTCATAGCTTCTATTATAAAAATATCGTTGATATATCAACCTCCAGCGTAAATCATTCGAATAAGGCCTTGGCATTGTGGAAAATTTCACCACGTTAATCGAACACGCAATTACCACGCACCCCCCCCGAATACCCCCGAATAAATACATGTCACGTGATCGATATTTAGGTATTTAGATATATTTGATCTGGACAACCTTTTTGGCAATGACTGTATATAACATATATATATATATATATATATATATATATATATATATATATATATATATATATATATATATATATATATATATATATATATATATATATTTGTTTATATGCTTTGTTTGGCATATTTATTACTATACAGTTTCGTACCACGTAAATAACGTGGCACTCTTCAGATAAAATAGCCTAAGTTTGACCTATAGCTTCTTAATTAACGAACTTTTTAAATATGTACAGATGGTATAAAGGACGCTTATCTAATTACAAATCAATTAACACCTTAAGTAGTGTCACGAAAATATTAGTATCAAGTTATAAAGTTTTTAAGTAGAAATTTATTAGCGTGTCTACACGTGGAGACAAGTTCGTTGCGACGATTAAGTGTTGCAATGTCCGGTTTACAAATAATGAAATACTTCTCCCAGATACACAAGTTACATCTCTTGGATGCATTACTGTAAGATTTAGCGCGTTTTAAAATTTTCCATCTGATAGAGTAACTAATATTATTGTTCTTAAGATTCCAGATGTATTTACTTAATATCAGTAGAATTACGCTTCTCATAGTTATTAAATGAAGCTTTGTGATTGGTGTATCGAGTTTTGAATTCATTTTCTGTTAGTCCAACATATGTTTGAGTGGGCCGCTTGTCAGATGTTTTTACTGTGGCTTGGTAGATAACAGATTTTGCTAGACAATTTTTTGACATAGGGCATTCACTTGGTTTTTGGCAATTGCATTTTTTTTCGTCGGTGGTTTTAGCTCGGTGGGATAGCTTGGATTTATTATGTCCGTCGATGTTTTGTTTAAAATTACTCATGCAGCTGTAGCTAATCTTGACGGTATTTCTGTTGAATATCTTGTGTAAGATATGGCCTGCGGGAAATTCCTCGTCTAGAATCTTTAAAAAGGTCTGACCAATATTAGTAGCGACATTTTTGCTGAACGGTGGGTTGTACCAGGTTATATTTCGTTTCCGACTCCTTGAGTTGATGGTATTTTGGGATGTCGGAGGTTGTTGGTATTTCAATTTATGTCGATAACCGCTCTTTGTTAGGGCTTCTTGATATAATGGCACTGCACGCTGAAACGAGTCTTCATCAGATGAAATTTCAGAAAGGCGCTTGTTGATCGCTGCTGGTATGTTGTCTAGTATTTTGGGTGGATGGTTTGATTTGTTGTGGACGTAAAGTGGAATATTGTTGGGTTTAGTGAACGGCTGATACTTTTGGGTAGACAGATTCAGGGTGACGTCTAAAAAATCTACTATTTTCTTGTTGGCTTCGATGGTAATTTTTAAGCCATGATTGTTGAAGATGGAACAGATATCTTTTTTGATAATTTCAATTATACGGGGGGTTGCTTTTATAACACCAAGCCCGTCATCTCGATAGAGGCCGAAATTCTCACCGTGTTTTTGGGTGATCTTGTGTAACAGAAAAGATCCGACCAGCTCGCACGATTCTGCCCCGTCATAACTACCCATAGTTACGTCAAACAGGTTGGATGATGTTTTCTTGCCCCAGTGCTCTCTAGAATTATATAGGCATGATTTCTTTGCATGCAGAATAATATCTCTTTCATCATCCGTGATGTCGTCATAATTTGAGGCGAAATCTAGCGCTGCGTTGAGAAGATCGATTGAAATAGATGGGTATAGAAGTCAACCACGTCAAAACCCTACCATTAACACCAACATTTCAGGTAACAGAACCAAGTGAACAACCATCATCCACACCACCATTGTCAACATTCCACGTGACAGAATCTACTACTTATACACCATCAACACAAGAATATATACCATCAGAATCAACATTCCAGATGCCAAATAAGCCATCAGAACAAACTGAACAACCAATGCAGATAACTATATCTTCAGTACAAACTGCACTGATATATATATATATATATATATATATATATATATATATATATATATATATATATATATATATATATATATATATATATATATATATATATATATATATATATATATATATATATATATATATATATGCTTACTTACATAAGACTATGAAACCCATCTATTTTTGTTTATGAGTATGTATAGTGTATACCATACCTAGTCATTCAGACAAATTCATTCAGACTCTTACCTGCAGGTTCTGTATTCTGTGTTTAGATTGTTATGCGACTGCGCAGTAAAAGCACAGTTACAAGGGTACCACTATATTGGTCTTCAGTATTACACAGAATGCTGGACCAGCAATGAATTAGAACCACACTACAGCAGAGATGGTCCAAGTACAGACAAATGTTTTAATGCAGAGTTTCAACCATGTTCTCAAGATGATAGCGACTGCGTCGGAGGTGCGCGCGCAAATTTTATCTATAAAATTGTTAACCCAGGTAAGATGGCGTCATCGTATTTAACTTGGCTTTTATTTAACTCATGTTTAAAAGAATTTTCAGTTTCACAAAGCACTATCGTGCAGCAGATGGTGGTCAACCTGCAGCTATCAGAATGAGAAAATAATTCATGTTTATTCTTTTCATTGTATTACCAATTTATTATTGGCTAGTAATAGAATTGAGTTTGTCGAATTGTAGTTCAATTTTCTTGTTCCAAAAATTGTCCACATCCCTGAAGTTAAGCACCGTCTGCCGCCTTAAGTAACGCTGGTGAAACTTGCCTGTGTCCAACTGACAAAAATAATGTAACGTTATAATTTTAATGATCTACAACTTTGAGATATTCACCTGAGTACATAACATCAAAACACACACAAAAATACCATGATCATAGAACGCACTGGTATCGAAGGTACTAGACTTAGTTCCGAAATACCACACACCCGAACAGACTTGGCCTCATAGCTCAGTTGGCAGAGCATTCGACTATAGTATCCCAAAGGTCGCGGGTTCGATTCCCACCGTGGTCAGGCTAACTTGTCAGCCTGCCTGGTGTGGATTACATTCAGAGTAACATCAAAAACAACTTTGAGAATACTGTAATATTTTAACTTCCTGTTGTAGATAAGCCGGCCACGTCTGAGATGAAAGGAACATCATCTAATTCAAGTGCTCAGGAAGTATTGCAACCACAAGCAACTACAGAAATGAAACTACCTACTACCCTACCATTAACACCAACATTTCAGGTAACAGAACCAAGTGAACAACCATCATCCACACCACCATTGTCAACATTCCACGTGACAGAATCTACTACTTATACACCATCAACACAAGAATATATACCATCAGAATCAACATTCCAGATGCCAAATAAGCCATCAGAACAAACTGAACAACCAATGCAAATAACTATATCTTCAGTACAAACTGCAGTGATAGAACCAACATCTCCATCATCAGAACCAACATTACAGATGACAGAGAAACCGACTATACCATTGTCAATAAACAATGAAACACAACCACCTGAGATGACAGAGAATATACCATCGACTGTGCCACCAGTAGCTAGCACCACGCCACCATGCTACGATGAGTGGCAGGTCTGTGTTGTCTTTACGTCATCGCGTTCAAACCCTACCGTGTTAAAAGTACAGTGCCTTTTTTAACTATATATCTGGGGGGGGGGGGGCAATTGCCCCCCAGGGAAAGAATTTGCCCCCCCCCCCAGTAAAGCCATTTCTGCCCCCCGAAGTGCGAAGCAGAATTGCTGATGATTGCTGTCAGAATTGCAGTTGATTTACTTGGCAATGAGATTATGCCCTTCCATAGCCTCCTCCACAGCCATCTTGTGTGTAATTCATATTGTTCTTCACCGAGTATTTCATAATAGCGATGGATTTCATGCAAACAATCCGATAAAATGCTAGCCTTTCCAAGCCTTTCGACTATTTCCTAGCACTCTCTTCCGCAGAGGCGTTTTGTTTTGTTTTGGGAGGATTAATTGCAATTTTTTTTCTGAAAAATATCAAGTTATATTAAGAGCCCCCCCCCCCTCCCAATCGCCACAAAACCATTCTCTCAGAAAAGCTAAATCCGTAGAGAAATGGGTGGGGGTGGGGGTACACGTTATATGTTCGAAGCTGAAACTGATTAAGTACGTCTCGACTGAGAAAAAAGACGATATACTGGAGGAACTTGATTTGTGAAATCTCGTTAAAGCAGTTGTAGATATGGTTCCAAGAAGAATAGATTTAGTTTAAATTTTTAACTGTTAAATACATGTATGCATCATCATAGCATAAACATTTCTTCTCAGTAAACATTTCTTCTCAGACATATTCTGCATCGTATGAAAAAGCAACGCAATTTTGAGAATGCGGAAATGGTGTCTCATAGAACCTAAAATGATTTAAATTCAACATTTCTGATCAAAATCACATTAGGATTCCCCCCCCCCCCCCCCCAGAGAGGAAATAAGATGACACTGACCCCTCCTCCTATTTTTCAAGGTGACTTTTCCAATTCATTTAATTCCGAGTAGAAATGTCTAGAAAGTTTTCATGTCTTCGATGTACTTTATAATCGTCGGAATTCTGCTAGATTTCACCCCCAAAATGCATGAAATCGCAATTCAGGGACCTTAAATTTCAAAATTTTCCAGACCCCGGACCCTCCTAAACGGTCTCACGCCTTCGGCCCCCCCCCCCCCCCGCAAAATTAAGGTTTGCCTATGCCACTGGTTATAGCTGTACGATTATCGCTACAAAGAAGTAAAATATAGCTGAATGATAGCTGAAGTTAATAAATTAAAGTTTTACAAAATCTCTCTTCAGACTCGCGCGTTCGCAAAACCTTGACGGCTCATATTTTTTCGTTCTGCCTTTTTTCCTGTTTTGCCTCC